TATTGCTATAATATATATTAAAATATATATTATAGTTTATAATATAATATATATATATATATATATCATCCAGAGCACATAGCACAAACTTCATCATCAGCCATCCCTCTCGTCCTTAGGCGGCATACAGCTCCCGCTTGTGCAGCAGCAGCTGCAGAGTTGCTGCTGCTGCTGCTGCTGCTGCTGCTGCTGCCATTGGTTGAAGCCTCCCCCGCTTCCTGCATCTGCGATGGTTGCGCGTATCCCACAGTATCCTTGCTGCTGCTGCTGCTGCTGCTGCTGTTGCTGCTGCTGCTGCTGGTTTCTCGCATTTGTTTTTCTTTTGCTTCTTTTGCTATCCCCTGATCTACAGTAAATTTAATAGCATCTGCTGCTGCTTGTGTGCGGAAGTAATAAAGCCCTGTCTTTAAACCTCTTGACCAACCATGAAAGTGCATTGTAGATAATTTTGCGTATGTCGGATTAATCATATGAATATTTAACGATTGAGATTGATCTACAAACGGTGCTCTATCTGCAGCCATATCAATAATACTTCTTTGTTTTATCTCCCACACTGTTTTATATAATTCTTTTATATCTTCAGGCATCCCTTCTATATGTTGAACGCTCCCATTGAATGCTATTAATTGCTGACGTACTTCTTCTGTCCACAGACCCCTCTCTAATAGATCTTTTAATAGATGCGGGTTAAATACAAAGAACTCGCCGCTCAATACACGACGACAATACATGTTCGATGTGTACGGCTCAAATGCTTCATTGTTCCCTGCAAACAAACAATATATATATATATATATATATTATATTATATATATTCTACTTTTAATCCTTTTTGTTGTATTTATTTGTTCTATTTATTTATTTTATTTGTTTATAATTCATTCTCCTACATTTTCATACACTCGACGCAGAAAAACAGCAGCAAGAGCAACAGCAGCAGCAACAGTATACAGTGCAGCAGCAACATCAAGAACAGCAGCAGCAGCAGAAGAAGCAGCAGCAGAAGAAGCAGCAGCAGAAGAAGCAGCAGCAGCAGAAGCATCAGCAGCAGAAGAAGCAGCAGCAGCAACAGTATACAGCAGCAGCAGCAACAGTATACAGCAGCAGCAGCAGCAGGAGGAGTATCCTTACCTAATATTTGTGAAGTGCTTGCTGTAGGCATAGGTGAGACGAGTAGAGAGTTTCTTAAACCGTACTTTTTAACTTTTTGTCGAAGGCCCTGCCAGTCGCAGAGGCCGCTATCAGGTTTAACACCCCACATATCAAACTGAAATACTCCTTTAGACATCGGTGAGCCTTCATATGTTTCGTACGTCCCTAAAGAAACAAACAAATACAAAAAATATATACATTTGCTCATACCTGCTATAAATCTGTATGTATGTGCATGCATAAATAGACAGAAAGAGAGATATAAGATCAATACACATATATACATATATTATATATAAACAACTATATATATATATATATATTATAAACAAACATATATATATGTAGATTTTTTATATATATTTATATATTATATGTGTGAAGGCTGCATGCTTTCTGTTGCTATTTGCATGTGCTGCTGTTCTTTGTCTGATAAACATAAGCGATAAAGAAAAAGAAGAGATAGAGACATATAAGAAGAGAAACAACAAAAAGAAAGAGATGATAAGCATACCGTGAATAGCGGCGAGCTCCATACTTGCTTCGCATGCAGCGAAGTATATACACTCGAAGATATTTTTATTAATATCTCTAGCAGCAGGAGAATCAAAAGGCAGACGTAGAAGTAGAAATGCATCTGCAAGTCCCTGTACACCTAAACCGATAGGCCTATGTCTGAGATTGCTTCGTCTTGCTTCGGGTATAGGATAGTAATTTCTATCGATAATATTATTAAGATTTCTAGTCATAACCTTAATAACATCTTTTAGCTTATCATAGTCAAATGTCTTCTTCTCTGCATCTACAAAACGTGGGAGAGATACAGACGCAAGATTGCATACAGCTACTTCTTCAGGGCTTGTATATTGAACAACTTCACAGCAAAGATTGCTTGATCGTAGAGTTCCTAGATGCTGATGATTGCTCTTTCTATTGCATGCATCTTTATACAACATATACGGTGTCCCGGTCTCTATCTGAGCTTGTAATATCGCAAACCATAGCTTCTGAGCAGGTATTGTCTTTCTCCCTCGTCCTTCTCTCTCGTACTTCTCATATAATGCTACAAACTCATCGCCCCAGCAACTCGTAAGCCCAGGGCATTCACAAGGACACATCAACGTCCAAGACCCTAAACACACAACAAACAAACAAATGCAATTATATATATATACATATACATATATATATATATAATGTAGCTAGATAGGATAGATGTGTGTAGGTAGATGGATATGCAATTGCTATGTATAGGCACTCACAACTAATATATATATATATATATATATATCTAAGGATGCACTTAAACAGCAAAGTTGCATGCATGCATATACACATTTAAACGAATCCTCTGCACACATGAACACTTAACATGCATACAACACTAAACAGCTACACATGCATGCATGCATCTATATATATATATATATATATACACATATATATATATGTATATATTTATATTTATATTGATTAGTTGCACGCACCGTTTTCGTACACTCTTTGCATGAATAAGTCGGGGACCCAAAGGGCAGGAAAGAGGTCTCTTGCTCTCATTTCTTCTTTACCGTGATTCTTTCTGATCTCTAGAAACTCAAATATATCTGCATGCCACGGCTCAACATACACCGCAAGACTGCCCTTGCGTTTACCTCCTCCTTGATCTACGTAGCGAGATGCGTCGTTAAATACCCTGAAAATAACATATTAAACCCTTTAAATAAAATAATATTCAAATAAAAACAATGTAATATGAAGAGACAATTAAGAAATGAACAAAACACAAAAAACTAATCATCTGATAAAGAAAACAAACAAACGCCTGCATGCATTATACGACAGATAAAAGAAAAGAAGACAGAAACATGCATAAGAAATACTACTTCATCATAAATATAATTATCATTATACAGATTATCATCACAATAACAACAACAATGCATTTTATAATTATTATAATAAATTTAACAACGATGAATATCCTCAAGACTTTCATTAAAAAGATATTCATATGTACAAAACAGCCTAAGACATATATATATATAATAAAATAATATTATCTGAAGAAGTCTGATGAAAGAGAGTAAACAGATGCGAATAAAGATGAGTAAGAAGCAAAAGAGATGATAATAATATATATATATATATATTTATATTTATATATATTTATATTTCTTTTTATGAATATCCACTGACCTAAGCATAGGGATAAGACCATTAGAATATCCGTTTGTACCTCGAATATAACTTCCTGTTGCTCTAATATCTGTTACAGACAGCCCTAAGCCTCCTGCAGTCTTTGATATTAATGCACATTGCCGTAATGTACTAAATATACCGTCGATTGAATCTTCTTTCATCGTCAGCAGAAAACCTGTAAATGCACATGCATGCAAATACATCAGAATTCTATTTATTATTCAAAGGCGAAGAAGACATACACACAGAGAGACAGAGAGAGAGAAACAGAGCAAGAAATATATATATATATATGTATATATATATTTATGCATATACATATATATATCTGTTTATATAGACGCCTGGTGCTGTCACAGAGATGTATTATATATATACATATATATAGAGAGATAAACTACAAAAACGTGAATAAACACCCGAAACAACAAATTAAAACAAAATAAACAAAGAAATAAATAAATAAAATAGATAAATAAACAACTTACAGCTGCTCATCTGAGGCCTAGGGGTCCCAGCATTGAAGAGAGTCGGCGTAGCATGTATAAAGAATTTACAACTCATCAACTCGTATGTCTCTAAAGTTTTCTGTAAATCTCCGCAGTGAATGCCGCATGCAACTCGCATCAACATATGCTGAGGACGCTCAACTATCACGCCCCCAGCTCGCAGTAAGTAAGACCTGCAACGCAATAAACAAATATATATATATATGTATATATATATATGTATATATATGTATATATGTATCTATATATGCATATGTATATATATGTATATATGTCTATATGTATATTAATGTATATATACTCAGGTATGTATAGATATCAGTATATATATTATATATATAGATGCAATATGTATATATATATATATATATAAATATACATGTATATATATATATATAGATGCACTTGCACAGATATATATATAAGCAGTCTACAGCCGCGATCAGCAAATTATGTCTTAGCGAGTTCAATGAAAACATAAAAAAATATATTTATTATTTATATACAATAAATAAATATAGTAAATAGATATAATATAATATATCAAACATTTAATATATTTAACATATCCAACTCGCTATAAAATCTTCTGCAAGAAGAAAAGATATATTAAACAAGAAGAGGGTTTTAGAACAATACGAAGAGACACATTAAACAACAAAAGAGATATTAAAGAAGCAAAGAAATATTAAACAAGAAGAAAGACATTAAAGAAGAGACAGAAGAAAAACAACAAAAAAGAATAATTAAAGAAGAGAGACAGCAAAAAGCCACTGAAAGCCCCCTTATAGAAGAGGCAAACAAAAAGAAGAACAATATAATTAAATAAATAAATATAAATAAATAAATATAAATAAATAAATAAAATAAAATAAAATAAATGCATGCATACCTCTCTAGGGTTTTGAACGCGAAGTAGTCGTAGTCAAAGTCTCTGTCATATACAAGAGCTTTGTTAATTTCGTCTTTATATTTAACTACAAAAGCATAAACATCTGCATGCACCAACGGGGCTGCCCTTCCTTGAGCATCTGTATATCGATATAATTTGTCTATTACTTCTGCAAAGTCAGAGCTCGTATTCTTATGTAAATTATCTATTGCTATTCTTGCTGCTAGTTTAGAGAAGTCGGGGTGATGTGCAGCCATGTAAGCTGCAGACAAACAAACAAAACAATTAATTATTTATTTATTTAATTAGTTTAATTATTTTATTTATTTATTTATTTATTTATTTTTGTAGCTAGTTAGTTTAATTATTAATAAGTGTGCTTAGTAAAGATGAGGCATTAACAAACAATAATATTATTAATATTTATTATTAAACATTAATATTTATTACTACTAATCATATTAATAAATAATATAAATAATATTATTAACAAACAGTATTATTAATAAATTAGATTAATAGGAAACATATAACAACACCCACTAACAGCAACAAATATAAAATATAAATATAAAAACAGCGAAAGAAGAGAGAAGACGAAAAGAGAGTAAAAAATATAATTAAATAATAATAAATTAAGTGCATGCATCAAAACAAACAAAGACGAAAAAAACAAACAAAAGAAAGTAAAGGAGACAGACAGATGCAGCAAACGCAACGACAATAAAATAAAATACATAATAATAAACAGCAGCAGCAGATATCGATACAGATACAAACAAAGACAGCTTAATATGCGCTGCAGCAGCAGCAGCAGCAGCAACACTCGAACAGCTGAAGCAGCAGCAGCGTCATCATCCTCATCCCGTTCATGTGTGAATACAAATGCAGATATATATAAATAAATATACATATATATATATATATATATATTACATAAAAATCTAATAAAATATATCTACAAATATACATCTACATATATCTACAGCCACATATATATACATACACACACATATATATATATAAAGTATACATAAATATAATATATAGATTATATATATAATACATAATATTATATATATATATATCACCGCTGGTTTGCGCAGGGAGTTCATCGACTATATAAAGTAAGTGTATATAAATATAATACATGCATTACATATAAAATATACATAATATATAATATAAATAATATATATAATATATAATATAATATATATATAATATATATTATATATAATATATATCTTACCGCTGGTTTGAGCGGCGAGTTCGTCGAGTTCTGAGGTTTTGATGCCGGCGTACATTCCGTTGATTACCGCCTGACTGACTCGCGCGGCGTCTACGAGAGGATGAAGACCGTAGCAAAGAGAGCGTACTCTCTTTAGTATTTGATCAAAGGACACAGCCTCTCTTTCGCCTCTACGATTCAACACATACATGCCACTGCTGCTGCTGCTGCTGCTGCTGCTGCTCGCCGTGGTGGTGCTGCTGCTGCTGCTCATGTTGCTGCTTGAAGTTGTAATGACTGTGTCTATACGTTTATCTGCTTTTAGGCTGTCGTATGATGATGATGATGAAGAGGAGGTAAGACCTGTGCAGCAAGAAGATGATGAATGTCTTGCTTCTGCTGCTGCTGCTGTTGTTGCTGCTGATGATGATAATAATGATGATGTTCCTGCTGCTCCTCCTGCTGCTGTTGCAGTTGTCAATGGAGGAACAGTAGCAGCTGTTGCTGCAGCAGCTGCTGCTGCTGCTGCAGGAGCGGAGGGATGTGCTGCAGTCATAGTTTTAGTCTAAGAAAGAGATGCCGATTATTTGCACTTGCTCCCACCCTACAAAAGATAAAAGAAAATAAATAAGCCAAACACCAGCAGCAGCAGCAGCAGCAGCAGCAGCAGCGACTACCTACAAAACGATAACCTAGCTGTACATATACACCTGAAGGGAGCGGAGCAGCCAGCGATTTTGAGACAGAAAGTAAGAAAGTAAAGACAAAAAGATATTGTTTTAAGCTCTTTTGCTGCTGCAACAACAGCAGCAAAACCCTGCTAAGCTGTGTATACACCCCAAGAACAACCCCCTCGACTACACCCCCAGACAGAAGAATGCAGCAGCAGCAGCAGCAGCAGCAACAGCAACAACGCGGCTGTCTGGAGAGAGCAGAAGAATAAAGAGTTGTTCGGTGTTTCTTCAATTATATTTAAGCAAACTAACCTATTAAAAACGACAGACACAAAGACAAAAAGAAGGAATACACACACGCAAGCAAACAACAACAGCAGCAGCAGCAGCAGCAGGGGGAGGGTTTGCTGCAGCAACAGCAGCACCACAGCAGCACAACAACCCCACCAGGTAAACACACCTTTTCTTTGCATATATACACGTACAAACAAAACAAAAAAGAATGACTTATACCATTATAGACAAGACATCTTCATATATATATATATATCTACTACTAAGCATCACCAGGTGTATACTCACCTCTTCCCTCCAACCACACACACTTCTCCTGCTCTCTCTTTTTTATTATTTATTCTTTTTTTTTATTTCTTTTTATTATCTTGCTTTATGCAACGCCTTCTGCTTCTTAGAACTGGCGAAACCCTAACACAGACCCGCAAAGAAGGCAGCTAGTTTTAGAGGGTGTTACTGCTGCTGCTGCTGCTGTTGCTGTTGCTGCAGCTGCTGCTGCTAGTCAAGTGTTTTGTTTATATGCGGGGTAAAAATTAAATAAAAAAGAAATAAAAACAAATAAACAAACTCAACAAAAACAATCAACGCTACATACAATAGAAAGCAGGCTACCCAAAGACATCAACAAAGAAATATATACATTTTAACCTGCATATACACCTCAAAGCTGCATATACACCTCAAAGCTGCATAAACACTTTAAAGCTGAGCATACACCCCGAAGCTTCATTAACAGCCCATGGTTGCATATACACCTCAAAACTGCATATACACTTTAAAGCTGCGTATACACTTTAAAGCTGCATATACACCCGAAAGCTACGCATACACCCCAAGGCTGCATTTACACCTCAAAGCTGCCTATACACTGCAGTAGGCGAGTGATAGGCTGGGGTGTTACCAGCAGCAGCGGGAAGAGAAAATAAACAAAAATATATGTCATAAAAAACACAAGAAATAAACAAATAAAGATATGTGTATAAATGTATATAAGTGCTCAATAATATAAACCTATAAGAGCATATATATATATATATATACATATATATATATATACCTCAGTGTCTCTGCATAAAGATATAAATAAATTTTTAATCACATAAATGCATACAAACGCACAAATATATACAAATATAAATAAACATGCATTACTATTAAGATAAATAAATCTAAACAAATGAGCAAATAATATAAATATATATATATATATATACATATGCATATAAATGCACTTCTTTTAAATATAAATAAATAGATATAAATGCAAATGTACACAACTATATGCATAAAAATATAAATAAATAAACATAGATTGAACTGCATATTAATATATTTTTATATATATAAATAAATAAACTCAAATGCATATTAATGTATTTACGTAAAAATAAATAAATTTAATTTCTCTCAGCTGCAACAGCAACCAACAGTTGAGCAGCAAAGTGCTGCACCGGGTCCAGCAGCACAAAGGTTCTCGCTGCTGCTGCTACTGTTGCTGCTATCGCTGCTGCTGCTACTGCTGTTATTGCTGCAGCAGCTGCTGCTGCTACTGCTGCTGCTATCACCGCTGCTGCTGCTACTGCTGTTATATTACCCAACCAGCTACCTCGCAGTTAGCAGCAACTGCTGCCAGCTACAGCTAGCTATGGATAGCTACAGCTAGCTACACGCACAGCTAGCTACAACTAGCCGCAGGTGCTGTAGCTACGTCTTGCTGCAGCCGATGAAGCAGCGCCCGACAGAATAGCAGCGGAGGCAGCTAGCTGTAGCTAGCTGTAGCTAGCTGTGCAGCCCATGTCCCTGGGAGTAAGGGTTTAGGGTTTAGGGTTTAGGGTTTAGCTGTTGTCCGCCGCTTCTCCCAAATGACTGCGGCTCGTTTTGCTGCTGCTGCAGCACTGTCTGGTTGTTAAGGGCTGCTACAGCAGCTGCAACAGCTGTTGCAGCTGCTGCAGCTGTTTATACACCCCAGCAACAGTTCCCAGAACTCGCAACTGTTTCTGCTGCTGCAGCACATGCTTGTTGCTCATGGGTTGCTGCTTCTTCTGTTGCTGCTGGCGCTTCTGTTGCTGTTGCTGCGGCTATCTCTCCTTCTCCTGCCGTTGCTGGTGCTGCTAGCTCTTCTGCTGCTGCTGCTGCTGCTGCTGCTGCTGCAGCAGCAGCAGGGCGATTTGTTTCTTTCTGGCTTTGGAGAGATATCCAAAGAAGAGCCTCAGAGTTGCAGCAGGAAGCCTCATCATTTGCTGCTCGCTGCAGTTTGCTGTCTCTTTGCTGATATGTGTCTCCTTTCTTTTCGTTTGTTCTTCTTTAGTCGCAGTGCATGCACTGTCTCTTTCGGGTGTCTCTGCTGCTGACTCCCCTGCCAGGTCCTCAAGCGTCTCCTTCAGCCTGAAGCAAAAGAAACGCAAACATACTCTCCTTGTTGCAGCAGCAGCAGCTGCTGCAGCAGCAGCGGCTGCTGCAGCGGCAATGCCAACAGCCCATGGCGTGAGACGCAGCAGCAGCAGCAGCAGCAGCAGAAACAGCAGCAGCAGCAGCAGAAGCAGGTGTGGGGTGAGGAATCGCACCATAGGTTAGGCCTGGGCAGCAGCAGCAGCACAGCAGCAGAAGCAGCAGCTTTATCTGTCTCCTCTGCATGCACACAACCATCTGCTGCAACCCAGCCTTCAATGCAAGCCCCAATGTGCAGCCGCTGAGGAGGAGACACATTCTGTGGCTGTTGTCTCCTGCTGCAGCATACCGTTCCCGCTGCTGCTGCTGCTGCTGCTGATCCTGATGCTGCTGCTGCTGCTGCTGCTGCTGCTGCTGAGGAACGAAGAGCTACCGCCTCCGCAGCAAACCGCCAAACCCATCGGTCTGTCCAGTGACTCGGCCCCACACCCAGCTGCAACGCCACGCTGCTGCTGCTGTTGCTGCTGCTGCTGCTGCTGTCAGCTGCTGGCAGCAGAAGGGAGATATCTTGATAGGAGCAAGGCGAAGGCCTTATGCAGAACCGATTCAATACAATGCGATCATCAGTCTTTGCTGCTGCAGTTGCTGCTGCAGTTGCTGCTGCTCCCGCCGGTTCTGCTGCTGCTGCAGCAGCTGCTGCTGCTGCTGCAGCAGCTGCTGCTGCTGCAATGGCTTCCCTGCGCCAAGCAAGACGGCTGGCGAGGCGCTGGAGTCTGCTGCAGCCAGCAGCAGCAGCAGGATTCAACCCCTCAAAGAAGTGCAGCGCGAATGACAGCAGCAGCAGCTGCTGCGGAGACTCCAGCTTGCTGCCGCTTCGGTGTCTCCTTTCCGTCTCAAGCAGCAGCATGTGCAGCACAGACACAGCATCCCTGCTCATGCTGCTGCTGCTGCTTCTGTCGCTTTTGCTGCTGCTGCTGCTGCTGCTGCTGCTCCGTGTTGTCTTCTCGCACCCCTCTAATAACGGTAGCAGCAGAGGGCTCCTACCCGCCCAATCTAGTGTGGTGCTGCAACAGTTCAAGGGAATTGCTGCTGCTGCTGCTGTTGCTGCTGCTGCTCCTGCTGGCGCTGCTGCTGCTCTTGGCGGCGCTGCTAGTGTTGCTGCGGCTGGCGTTTCTGCTGTTGCTGCTGCTGCTGCCGCTGCTGCTGCTTCCACAGATTCTGCTGCTGCTGCTGCTGCTTCCACAGCTTCTGCTGCTGCCGAGGAAGGCAGCAGCTTTAAAGGGTCCTCTCCTAGGCGGGGTGAGCCGCAGCACAGCAACAACTGCGTCTGCAGCAGCAGCAGCAGTGCTTCGTCATTGAGGTGTGGGGCCCGCGACAGCAGCTGTGCATGCAGCAGCGCAGCTGCAGCACCAAGTGCCTCATCAGCCTGAAACAGCAAACAAAGCAAAGAAGAGGAGACGCAAAGATAGAGCAACACGCCGCAGCATCAGCTGCTGCTGCTGCTGCTCCGACGGCTGCTAGTGCTACTACGGCTGATGCTGCTGCTGCTGCTGCTGCTGCTGATGCTGCGCCACATGAAGCAGCAGATGCTGATGCTGCGTAAAAAGAAGCAGCAGCCGCACCTGCAGCTCTACCAGAGACAATAGGATGTCGGCCCAGCACCTGCACACACAAGAAAGAAAGTAGCAGCAGCTGCAGCAGCAGCACTGACAGCAACTGCTGCAGCTGCTAACAAATGGAGCTGCTGCGGCTGCTGTCTCCTGCTGCCCCCCAGGACCCTCTTCTTACTGCCACACGAAGGCTTCGTCTCCGTAGTCGCCCTGTTCTTGCTGCTGCTGCTGCTGCTGTTGCTGCTGCTGCAGCAGATGTTGCTGCTCCTGCTGATAGTATACAGCCCTACGAATGCCAGGCAGCAAAGAGTGCAGCGCTGCTCTGGGGCGGACGCCGCATGCAACGAATGCATGCAGCAGCGCAGCAACAGCAGCAAGCTGCTGCAGGTGTCTTACAGGGACACGGCCTGCTGCTGCTGTTGTTGCCGCTGCTGCTGCTGCAGTTGCTGCCTCAAGCTGGCGCCGCGAACCCACAAGGTGTCTCTCCACCTGCAACAGCGCCGCATGCACAGCTTCTTCAGGGGCCCCGCAGCAGTTTGCTGCTGCTGCAGCACGAGCCCAAGCGACAGCAATCCGGGGGTCTGCTGCTTCACCTGCAGTAGCAGCAGCAGCTGCTGCTGCTGCTGCTGTTGGAGTGGCTTTACCACTGCTGCTGCTGCTGCTGCTAATGCGGTTGATGCTTGCCGCAGCAACGGCTGACCACCGCTGCAGCAGAGCCTGGGCTAAGGCATCGCGCAGCTGCAGCAGAGCAGCAAGAGACTGCTGCAGCAGCAGCAACAACGGAGGAGGAGCCCTAGCAGCAAACCCTGCTGCTGCTGCTGCTGCAGTCTCCAGCAGCAGCTGTTCGAATGCGTCCTCAGCCTTAGCAGCAGCAGCAACAGCAGCAGCAGCAACACGCGACAGTTGCTGCTCTCGCCAGACGCGCTGCAGGTGCTCTTGGGCCTCCGTTGCTTGCTGCTGACAGACGCTTGCTGCAACCCCTGGGGCTTCAGCAGCAGCTGCTTCTGCTGCCGCTACTATTGTTGTTGGTGCTGCTGCAGCTGTTGCTGGTGTGGGGCCTGCAGCAGCTGCTGCTGCTTCCAGTGCTGCCGCAGCGTGCGGCCTCAGCACATGCAAAGGAGACACAATGTCGGGCGGCAGCAGGAGTGAAGCAACCGGGTCAATGTTGCTGCTGCTGCTGCTGCTGCTGTTGCTGCTGCTGCTGCTGATGCTGCTTCGATAGTCCAAGAGACAGCGAGCTTCTGCTGCAGACAGCTGCGGATACACTGCAACAGCAGCAGCATCGAGGGCCTGCTGCAGCGAGAGCATCAGACGAGAGACAGCAACCCAGCAGCTAGCCACATGCTGCGCCTCAGCCAGCTGCAAACAGTTGCTGCTGCTGCTGCTGTTGCTGTTGCTGAGCAGCAGGTTCTTCCGGATTGCTGCTGTTGCTGCCTGCAGCAGCGGCGCGTCGCCGCAGACAGCAGCAGCACTTGGCAGCGCAGCTGAGAGGTGCAGCAGCTGTGCAGCAGCAAATCTGTCTCTTTCTGTCTCCTCTTCCCACGCCAACCTTCGGCTTAAACAATAAACCAAACTGCCCACGCGAGGCGGGGAGGGGCGCCGAAGGGGGCCCCCAGGGGGGCCCCCCAAAGGGCTCCCAGGGGGGCCCCCCAAGGGGCCCCCAGGGGGGCCCCCCAAAGAACCCCCAGGGGTGCCCCCCAAAGGGACCCCAGAGGGGCCCCCCAAAGGGCCCCCAGAGGGGCCCCCCAAAGGGCTCCCAGGGGGGCCCCCCAGAGGGCCCCCAGGGGGGGCCCGCAAGGGGATAGAACAACCGAAAGCAAATAACTCCTTCGTAGGGGAGATGCTGCGCAGACACCAGGACACAGAAACAAAAGAACTGCTGCTGCTGCTGCTGCTGCTGCTACTGCTGCTGCTGCTGCTGCTACTGCTGCTGCTGCTGCTTCTATTCATGCCCGTTGTGGCTGTGCTGCATGCGCTACAGCAGCAGCAGCAAGAGGTGAAACGGTGGCAGCAGCAGCAGCAGCAACTGCGGCAGTAACTGCATCAGCATCAGCAACCGCAGCAGCAGCAGCAGCAGCAGCAGACTGACTGTTGTATCCTTTGCAGCAAGCCCCATAGCGAGATCCAGAAGCCCCTGTCGTGGAGCTGCGTTGCTGCTGCTGCTGCTGCCCACCTTCTCCCGTCAGCAGCAACGCATGCAGCAGGGGCCTCTGCAGCAGCCGCACGCAGAGCAGCAGGCGACAGCACTCCGTTGGGGGGCCCCCCTAAACCCCTGTATACACCTCGCCACAACTGCAGCAGCAGCAGCGAGTCGAGAGAGCCGCAGCGCAGCAGCGCAGCAGCAACAGCAGCCCCTTGGCGAAACGTAGGGGCATCCCAGATGCCCTGCTGCTGCTTCTGCTGCTGCCTTGGCTGCTGCTGCTGCTGCTGCTGCTGCTGCTGCCCTTGCTGCTGCAGGAGGGAAAGTTGTGCTAAGAGCGTTTCTCTTAGCTGCTGCAGCGCTGCTTCTCTGTGGGGCCCCCAGCAGCAGCGCAGCAAAACCCATGCCACCTTCTCTGCTTCCTGTGTACATACACCACAAGAGGGCAGCAAACGAACTGCAGCAGCAGCAGCAATAAAAGCAGCAGCGACAGCAACAACAGCAACACCAGCAGTAGCAGCAGTAGCAACAACAACAGTGTCAGCCGCAGCAACAGCAGCACCACTAGCAGCTGCAGCAACAGCAGCAGCTTGCCTGATAGCTTTTAAGACGGTGCATAGACTGGGCCAAGGCGGGCAGCGCTGCCTTCCGCAGCAGCAGCAGCTCGACGTGTAGCAGCGGCTGCTGCTGCTCCTCCTCCTGCTTTCCTTGCTCCCCTTTCTGCTGCTGCTGCTGCTGCTGCTGCTGCTGCAGTTGCTGCATCTGCTGCGGTGATAGGCGACTGAGACTCGCAATCAACGAAGCCAAATCGGGGGGCCCCAATTCATGCAGCCGCAAACGGGCGCTTTGCAGCAGTGCAGCAGCAGCAGCAGCAGCAGCATCTGCTGCTGCTGATGCTGCTGCTTCAGGTTCTTCATAAGATGCCTCCGCTGCAGCGGGCCGCTGCTGTATGTACACCGCACGAGCAGCGAGACCAGCAGCAGCAGCAAGCAGCTTCGGCGGCAGCCACCGCCCTAGAGGCCCCAAATCCGCGACAGCAGCAGCAGAAGCAGCAGCAGGAGCAGCAGCAGAAGCAGCACCAGAAGAGACACGGGTGTGAGGCGCCCGCATTCTCATCTTCTCCCTGCTACGCCCGCGTGCAGCAGCAGCAGCAGCTGTAGCAGCAGCAGTAGCAGCAGCAGTAGCAGTAGCAGCAGTAGAGATGCTGTGGAGAGCCTCTGTATCTCGAAGCAGAACTGGTTGCTGCAGCAGCCGCTGCTGCTGCTGCTGCTTCTGCTGCAGCTGCTTTTGCTGCTGCTGCTGTTTGAGATATGCATCAAGGAACTGCAGCAGGCGCCTCCCCTTGGCAGCAGCAGCAGCAGACCTCCTTCTTCTTGCTGCTGCTTCTGCTGCTTCCTCGCTACTTGCAGCAGTGCCGGGGGGCCCCCCCTCGTGCTGCAGCTGCTG